CGCCACTTACGTTCGTATCATTTAACGGCGAGAAAGAAAAAGATCGTGCGATGGTTCCATCTCGAGTTGCGCGCCCGCGTAAGCATTGGCACGTTTGCTTTCTAGACAATTTAATATCGGGGCAGTTTTCAGAGCTAGGTGAAATTGCGATAGCAACTCTCCGAAAATAATAGAAATTTTTAAGATCGAGATATCCTATTCTTTGCACGCAGCTGTATTCTCATAAAAAAAAAAAGTATAACACATACCTTATTTGAAAAAATAATCGCTGCGAAGTAAGGCAAAAATATTATGCAGGGAAATATTCAAATTTCATTACATCCCAGTTTACAATAGTGGTTAGGTAAAATTGCATATTACATGTAAACGTGACGACAATTAATATGCGACAGGTGATGTAAGGGTTGATTTACGGGACACTTTAATAACACCGTTACAAGAAAATATGTAGGTTACTTTCTATAGTATGTTTTGATCGCTATTTAAAGTTTCTTTTTTTTTGCAAGGAAAGACACGTAACAAATGTTAGTTTATGTACTTTATAAATATTATTAAAAATGTTATGAAAAATATTATAAATATAGTTACTAAAGTTTAATAAAATTTAAAATATAAAATATATGTATTCTTAACACTCCGAAATTGTAAGTATCTTTTTAATGCGCGTTTCTAACATATTTTTTATGTAAATTGTTTAAAATTTTAGAGATAAATATTTTAAATTAGGTTAACATTCATATTTAAGTAAGTATATATTTCTTTGATAAATCATTATTCTCTTTAAATTTTCTATTTTCATTATTGATCTATATAAAGAATTAAAAATTGAATAATGCAATTTAGTAGACTATCCTATGCGTTTAAACGGAAGACTTTATAAGCAAGCAGTCTCTAACGACAATAGCTTCCACGTGTACTGTCCGTATAGTAAGTAGAGTCTATTGTAACAACAACCCAAGAGCTATTCTCGCATATCATGGTATTAAGTCCTATTCAAACTACTAAGACGTCATACATTGCCAACTCTCACAGCTCTTAACATCAAATACAATACTAAATATTATCTCGTTAAATGGTTAGTGGTTTCTCCGTGTAATATTCAATTAAAATAACAATAAATACAAATGTAAAATTATAATTATCAAATTTCAAAGTATTATTCATTAGTCAATCCCATAAAAAAAAGCATCAAAATTATACCATTGAGTTGAATAAATAAAAATACGTAGCTATGCACCCGATGGAGCCAGTATTCGCACTTTTGATATTTCTTCCTTATCATTTCTCGTAGCAACACACATTTGATTCGTACATTGCGCGTATTTGAAGTACATTTCTCAACTTCAAATCTGATTGAACTTGCTCGGCTAAAATGGAGAAACCGTGAGACACGTAGCGCGTAAACGCGTCTCTCTGCAGCTGCGAATGGAGTTTCTCGTTAAACCGTATGAAGTACCGCGTTTCAACTACGGTAAGGTTTCTCAGGTCGACTTCTTCTCCTAGATATGGGCAAACATTTGCTTTCCGTAGTATCAATCCGCGGGAACGCGGGAACGCGCTGGTGGGAGAATCGTTGTGCGGGAAGTATCTGCAGGGTCGTTCTGAAGCGGATCGTAAGCGACGTAAAGAGGGCATAAAGCACCCCGGCTCCATTACTCTGCCTTAGTAAATCGGTACCAACGCTGAAGATCGCGCGCGTGACCCAATTCCGGGCCGTTCCTGTGTTATACCTAATACCGTATTTTATCAAAGATAATGCGCGCCCCTACTGTTGAATAGACACCCGTATTGTCATCCGAGGCCGCGCGAAAATGTCCGCTAAAGCGCACGAAAACGGCTTATAAATTGTTTCCTGGTTATTGCGGGGGATCGCGAAAGTTTTGAAAAATGGATTCTCGATAAACGAAGGCTATTTGTTGCCTTAAACAAGCGTATTACACGTATTAATGGCACGTCGCGTCCAGTTATTGATGAAAATATACTTCACCTATCGTTTCTTTTTGCTTTGTGAATTAAAAGGCACACACGATCGCAAAAAAAAAAACAATAATTGTTATATCTTTTTTCCATTGTGAATTTTCTGCGTGAATTTTCTATTGTGAATTTTCTCTATTTTATTAGAATAAAACTTTTTACTTTATTCTATTTCTCTTTGACAATTATTTTATAATACTAATATCAAAAACTGGTTTAATAAAAAATAAATAATAATTTAAAACGCATTTAAAAGCAGAAATAACTAAACTTTTCTAATAGTATATTAATTTAAAAATTTAATTAAAAAGGTACAACATTCAAGTTTAAATTCAGTATTAAAATTCTTTGAAGATATTCTTTTAATAATTTTCTTTTTAAGTATGATAATATTGTTAACAAAAAATAATGCTCTAAAAATATCAAAAAATAAATATTGAGACTAAAATAATGGGAATGAAATAATATGAATGCTTTTATTAAAAAAGTTGTAAGTGAATAAAAATGTGAATAAAAAAAAAAATATGCATTGTTTGTGAGAACAAATTCATTTTGATATAATAAAATATCTCTTTTCTTATTTCGTAATATATAACGCGAAAATAATAAATATATTACGTATACGTATACGCGAATTGTAAATTATAATTTTATATACGTCTATATCGCTACGTTATGAATACTTATTATCACATCGATGAGAAAAGATGCTTTGTAAAGCGAAAGATTATTCATGAGAAACATAGGATGAACTTTTGCTTTTCTTGTTCCCATTTCTACTAAAGGCATGCAATTTCCTTCATATTTATATATTATCATACGTTAATAGAATTAACATACTGTACGATTGAGTCATGCATCAAATTAATTCATTTTGCCTTTAACGCTATTGATGGCAACCGGACGGGAAGATCAATTGTAGTTCCCGTTTCGTAATACAATTAAAGATTCATGGTGAATGGAAACTAATGGCATTGTTCGAGTATCGAAGTTTCTAGGAAGAATCAAAGGATGTTTTCATCAAAGCGATATACGCGAATCGATCGATTTGAGATTTCGTTGAACGAGCGTTCTTCAACGGCCTTATCCATATCGCGTATATCAATATGACAGCCCGGAAAGGCATCCGTCGTTGCGCAAATATCTAATTTGGGAAGATGAGGAAGTACGCCGCAATATTAATAACGAGCGGGTAATAACGAGAGAGAGTGTCGAGTTACGACGATCGCGTTGTTGCTTCCAGGTGTGCGAGGCGAAGTAGGCGAGGAGAGCCTTCGTCAGCAATGAGAGCGATCATGTATACAGCGGTTGTACAACAGCCGTCAGCCAGGCAGCCAGCAAGGCAAGACGGGGCTAAGGGTGGGATATCAGCGAGCGACGAAACAAAGTTTATTTTTAATCAGCCACGGCAACCCCAGAGTCGCGCTACGCCGGCGAATAGCACCACGAGTACCGCAGCAGCCAGCCGCGCCGACACAGGTTCGACGGTGCCACCGCAGAGCTCTCCGGCTCTCAACATCAGTTCAACGAACACAGACAGAAGCGAAGCTTGCGCGACCCACGCGGTGAAGGGATCCGCGGGGAAAGGGGACAAAATAGAGAAGCAAAGCGAAACGGGAGATGAGACGAGACGGAGAAACGAAGACGGGAGTCGGAGGGGGGGGGGGTGAATTCTACGAGGAGGATAGTTTAGTCGACGATGGTGATTGTTACGGCGACGACGTTTCAGTTAGCTGAAACGTCGTTTCCTTTGTCGCGTCTGTGTGAGGAAGGAACTTGTCCTCGATGAGGTGTACAGACGTGCACGCGTACATCAGCGGACGTCGCCGCGCGTAACCGCCGCCACGTAGCGCACATACAAACAGCGCCGTAACACGTGCGCGGCCGGCACTACACACGACCGAGGAGGATACACAAACACCCGGGTTTCCCAGAGCTTCCCCCGGTGTGGTGTGCACGGAGGGTATCTCACGAAGGGTGGTTGTATGTATCTGCTTGTGCAGTATTCGCCATGCAAACTTCGAGCTCTCGCACGGACTCGCGCTCCTTCTAAGACTTCGCCTACAATCGGAGAGAGAAGCGTAGAGATCTCGATTCGGGTTAATTGTGGGCTTCGTCTATAGACTCGGCGTGCTCGGGCAATGAATTTTAGGAGGCGCGCGCGCGCGCGCGCGTGGTATCGCCCCATCGCATCCCCGCGATGCCGAGGAGGCGAGAGGTCGGCGGGGTGAGCACCGACAAGCGGATATATTTATGCGCGCTCGTGGAAATTCTTCGATCTGATTGCACGAGCGCAATTGCCAGGGGAATGAAAACGTCTGCATTTAGCGAGGTACTGTTTTCAACGCGCTGCAAATAAGACCGCGATTGTTTATGGCAGCGGTATATTGTACATTACATTTGATAAAAGCAAGTATTCAAGTAATTAAAAGAGCACAATGTTGAAAAGCAAATATTTAAAGTTTTTATAAATAAGTAGTGCTTGGAGATAGTATTGTGAAGAAATGTGAGCAAATAAAGTTCCAGTATTTCATTAAAAAAATATATATGTCTCAAAGATATTTTTTTAAACGTAGTTAAAATATTGTGATGATCTTTAAAATTTTTTCATAAGACTCTCTAAGATATTTTTCGTATTTCCTGTATTCAGATTATGAATTAATTTATTGTTGAATTAATAACAAAATAAAATTAATTTTATCTTGAAGAAATCTTGAAGAAAACTATGCCATTTTTAATAATGCTGATGAATTATTTGTAATCTGGTCTTATCTTTTTATTTGCGAAGACAAATTTACAGTGCAAATGTCTTCCATCTCTGCCAAATTTTATACTGTGTTAAATAAAATATTTGTTAATTTATATTTATATTCGTTCGCAAGACGTGCAAGACTGCGTTTATATTTTAATCCTGTAGATTGTGAAAAAAGATAGTTATAAATTTATGTTAAAAAATAATCGATAATATATAAAAGAATAAAAATATATAAGGTATTGTTTCCAACTTGTTAATAGAAAGACAATAGTTCACGCAACAATTTATTATGTTTGATAAAAGCAAGTATTTACATTAAACTAAAATATAATGCCCAAAAACAATAATGTAGATAACTTGTAAAAGATCTTAAAATTAAGATATCTAAAGAATTAAAATCTAACTTAACAAAAATATTTCTTTCTATTTATCTTATTTCTATCTTAAGTTATGTTGAGATAACTTTAACTTCATATTGGAAACGTTGTAACTTCTTTGGGGATATTGGCAAACTATCAATAGTAAATCGAGCTTTTATTTCATCTATCCATTTACAAAAACGGATTTTTGGCGCAAAAGATAAAATATTCTCAAAAAAATTATCCTGTCTACGTCATATTTTATACACGAATCTCGCAAATAAAATTACCCATTAACGCATTTTACGCATTCATTTCACAAATTTCTTCGGGTCCTATATCAATTTAAAATTAAACATTTAAAAACAAAGTATCAATAAAAATGCCTATATAAAAACTGTGTTTACTCTGCTTCTGTTACTCAAATTAAAACTTAACGTCTATGATTATCGCCATAAATTATTAATCCTACAACTTTCAAAGAGCGCACTTCGTCCAAGAATATCGACAGTATTAATTTTCGCGCGGAATATTAGCACGTCTGACATCGATCCCTACGATTTGGCTCGATTTAGCGTACCAGGCGGGACTCGGCAGGCGAATCCGCTCGCAATGAGAAATAAGAAGGATCGTGGTTCCGCGGCGATGCCTTCCGTGCAGTTTCACGCCGATACGCATTACCTCGCGAAGATTTGTAAGCGGTCGCGAGCGTGCCAAATGTTGTGGTGTGCGCGCGGCGGGGAGGAAGCGAAAGCGGAAGGAAGAGAGGAGAAGACATTCTACTCCGGGGTGGGATAGGTAGGAGTTAATACGAGCGATTTCTGTGTTCAGGATGAAGGAACAAGCTGCGCGTATATAACCGGCTTAGACGCAGGGAATCATCCATGGTTTATCGTCCATTTAATAAAGAGGAGGCGGGCGGTGGGAGGATGAAAAAAACGCAACGTTCGTGCCGTCCTTCCGACGCGTCGGTTTCTCCCTTATCTCCTCCGATAAATCGGTCTCGGTACGGGACCCTTCTCCAGATTATATGCCCGACGACATCGTATACCTCCAGATAGCTTTAACACAAGGATCCGGCGGATGTCGGAGATCGGTAAAACGGTGTCATCCAGTTTAAACATTTTCACGAAGGAAGAGCGTTAAAGCAGCGACGAGGACAGAACATTGAAAGGATACCGAGGAGCCACGATCAGGAGAACGATCCGATCGAGATATCTCTTTGGCACGGTATCATTAAAGAACCTCGATCGAGCAGTGAATCCCTTTATAGAGCAAACCATACGCAGTCGAGCAATAACAATCGGCGTAAATACACGCCTCGTCTACAATCGCGTTCTTCCGTCGTTTCCGCAACAATAGTAATCAGCATGTTATTGCACTCCATGTATGTAGAACGCGAAAAACGAGAATTTAGGAAAAAAAACAAAAAAAAAAGGAAACAGTCTGCTTCCGCGCGCACGTTCAGAGCCCTTTGCTCCGAAACTCGCGACATTGATCCGCCTACGCGATCGAGCCCGGGAGCGTTTGTTTGGACAATGGACGAATGGACTCGAACCGCATGACGGTTGTGCTCATCCTTAGCGAGAACACGGGGAGATATTCGAGCTCGCATCGAGCGCGTTGTTGGGTATACAAGAGAAGATACGATCTCGCGGAACGCGGGAAAGTCCACGCTCTCTTTCTCTCTCGATATGCGAAAACTTTTCGCACTGCTTTATCCATGCCTCTTCCTTTGTGCGATCTCTAACAGCATAGCTCTCTTTGCGCCAGTGATAGCGGAAGAGAATATATCTTACTCTCTCTCTCTCTCTCTCTCTCTCTCTCTCTCTCTCTCTCTCATACATACTATTTCTCTCGCAGCAAGGATCGCAAATCTTTCAGAGGCGGGTTGAAGCACCTATAGACGTATACGTGCAACCGACTTCAAAGTACTATTCCCTTTCCTTCTTCTTCTGCTGTCACTCTACTCTTGGGCAAATCCCTTTTGTTCATTATTCGTCAAATATCAAATTGAGCGTCAGAGCGGTAATCGGACGCAACTAATTGGCTACGCTTCCCTGTTTCGATTCTCCGTGTCATATAAAGCGCATCGCAACGCGATCTCCCAACGGCGGATTTGGCTACGGCGATGCTTTATCCGATTATCTATCTCTCCACCGGTCACGATTCAATCCGGGACGCACGTTAACCCTTGACTGGGCAACGCGCGCATTGCCATTCTCTCCTATCTGTCCGTATATCGAAAAGACAAAACGACGAGAAACAATCCGTGCGTATCGGCGCGTCTTACAAAGTAACGAGCTATACGAGAAGAGAGACGCGATTGTAAAATATATAAACGACGATCTCGCGGTCGGCATAAATGGCATATCACATGTTAAACGCGTCCGCGTTCCTTTTGATTCTGATCACCGTGGCAGTGCTCAAAATGGTTCATTAAGCCGAAAATTAAGGCCGCGCCGTCGACGGCAACGAAAACAGGGAACATGCAGAATTCACGATCCTGACCCGTTCAGAGAGAGAGAAGAAAAAAAAAGAACACAAATCGATGCACTAGAGAGAGAGAAAAAAAAAAGAGGAAACACTTAAGTAGTCATTTATCGGTTTAATAATATTATTTGTTTCTGCGCCGTCCATACGCGGTCCTTAAACCCTGCCTCCATCGTCTCTTCCTCCAGCCCCTTCTCCCGCTGACTAGTGTGCTATTTATCATGCGACGCCCGTGAGCTCCCCTTTCGTGGTCTCAGGCGTGCCGTGACTATCTCAGAAGCAGATGGAGCATGCCCAGGCAGAGTATTGTCACAAACGTCATCGTGTGCGTGCCGCTTCCGTTCTCTGAGGTTACTGCAACACATGTTAGAAAGAAGTCATCATTTCTCGTCACTCCGTCAAACGACGAGCGCCGCTTCTGGAATTTTAACTATCGGCGCAGTGGTTTTTAAGGCGCGAATAATACTAACAAAAGTATAATCGGAATATTTCCGATATCATAGAAATACATAAAAATTAAATACATAGCGGTTTCATACCAGATATTTGTAGAGCGTACATGGACCAGCGATTTTTTAAAAATATTTTCAAAACTTTCCTGATATCTTTCCGCTGTTTAAAATGTTTATATATTAATGTTAAAAAATATATGCTATTTTGTTAAAATCGTATGCTAAAGGAAAATTATAAATTGTGTAATATAACTTGCGTATGCTCAAAAAATAGTAAAATTTGTAATATTGTCGTATCTAATTGTAAAAAAAAAGAGCTAAAAAGCTAAAAAGATTTATCCAATACAGTGGATTATCGCTTTTTTAATACGATTTTAAAGCTATCCTATAACAATCTAAAATTAAAACTATGCATTGAAAATGGATTACGATTTTTATTATTCATCATATTGTAAAAAAAAGGCCCAATAAAAAAGAGAAAGCTTTTTCAAGTTGAACATTTTGCCGCAAACTCAACGCTGCATTCGAATTTTTAGTATCTTTGCAGTGTAGAATTTATATGCGCTACGTGGTCTCTATTTGCACGGAATGATGGCACGTATCAGTATGTCGTCCTCGTTGAAACTTAATTCTTTTTTTTTTCTAGCAAAGAGCTTTTTTGCGTTTAAATGATTTACACGAAATCCGCACCGGAGAACGTTGTAAAAAAATGAGACAGATGAGCTGAATGATGGTACCCCGGCATGATCGGATTATTGATTGGTAAACACGTTCTGCATTACATTTTCGTATCATTAAAACGTCATCATTATGCTGCACGACATTCAAAATCGACACGCCTACAATCAATAACAGCGACGATAATGACACATGTCTCCGTCGGACATAACGCGCAGGAAATCTGATGAATAGATATCAAATTCATCGAGAAATGTGTCGCCGATAATCAGTTGATTTTAGTTCGGCTTGTGCACTCTGCGCATTATCGATATCATGAATATAACACGCATGAAAACTAAGCGCACATAGACATTTGACACGATTCTAATGTTGACAAGTTGACAGATACGCTACGCGCGAATATTACTGTAATATCCAAAGTATAACCACCAAGCAGTATATTACGCACAATAATGTAACAATACTCACTTAATTCACTTGCGTTCTCATATGACTCAGCACGAAACTGACAAACCGTTTCCAATTCCAAAATTTGTTAAGGGTAAATAATGTAAAATCTAGAAAATAATAGTAAAATAAGTAAATAATGTAAAATACTAAAAAAAAAAATAAAAAACTATAATTAGAAAAAAACTGTATAATCGAGAATTACTTTTTGGAAAAATCGAAATAGTTATAGGGATGCTTTCATTAACAAATCTACATATCTCCGGAATTTTTTTTATATATTATAAAGTTGCGATAAAATCTAACTCGCAGTCAGATTCTTCCGTATAAATCCATAAGAAATTCAAATAAACGTAATTTTTATTTTAAGTTATGTTGGAAGGAATTTGCAGTCATAAGATTCGAGAAAGGATCGCGGTTCTGTTCCCTCTTTAAAGAGGCAATCAGATAGATAAAAGACTTAATATTTAAAATAGGTTGAAATGGCATATATATGTATGGGTTATTGGGGAGCGATTTCGCGTAAAACGACATTTTTCTTCCTGCTCGAGATTAAATCTCTCTGGCAGGGCGCGGCGTGTCAACTGTTGAAATCCCTTTCGGAATGGAAATTCTGACGCGCGAAACGAGGGGAGAGGGAGGGGTGGAGGGAGAATGGTGCCATTAAGTGGAACGTCAGTGGATTTTCCTCCGTGGGGCATTGTTCCTTCTGTCGGGTAGAAAAGTCAATTTTCTAAAAACAATTCTGTCGACCACGGCCCAGGGAGTAATACGTACGAATCAAGCGACCAGCCGCCCGCGGAAAACCGGATGTGAACGAAATGAAATTACTACGGGCGCGCGGAAGAGAACGAATTTCTGTAACGGCGGGAGCGTCGGTGCGCGGGGATGGTGGAGGAGGACTAAAGTGGAATATAGCCCCGACAGGTTTGAAAATTGAGAAGAGCCAAAATCCTTTGGTCGCTTATCAATCGCCGGAGTTTACGATATATTCCCCCAGTCTGCTCCTATCAAATTTATCCGAAAATGTACGAGTTTTGCCAACGATGGCGAAATCGCGAGCGCTCGGATCCCAGATAGCGGCTCGATAGCGATCGTTGATATTACTTTTGGAATATTCCACTCGCACATAAAAAAAAGCGACGTATAATCTGATCATCTCTAACGGTTGATATTGCATGCTATGATGTATGCAATACTTTTTTATGCATATTTAAATATCCTACGAAATACTGATATATACAGAAAATTCCATGGACATTGAAACGTTTTCCTCCCGGCTGCAGACTATTTGACCATTTTAAAGTTGATTTTCCATTCCGTTCCAAGTTTGCTAAAGAATTTATAATCGAGGAAATCCGATGTGAAGACATAATACATACTTTCTCTCTGTATTAATTTCGCGCGAATATGCATGAAATGAATGCCGAATAGATTTATACGGAATTGCTCCAGATACGTGTATAATATTTATATAAAATGTGCATACAAAGTAAGGTCGCGCGACGGTTGCGAAGAAAACTTTCGTAAACTTCGCAAACGCGGAATCAGATTTTTCATGGCGCGGTATAAATGCGACGTGTGCGTAAGAACAGCTTATGAGGTACCATTCATGGATTTTCGGTAAGAGCCTTTTGAGAGGGGGATTGAAAGCGTTCGCCACGACCTGAAAAGTATGCGGAGTCTAGGCCGCGAAATTCAGAGGGTTCTTGATGTAAAAACTCTTCAGGCAACTTCATGAGCCGGTGCTCGTAAGTTCGTGACACGGGTCCTCGGAAAGTTTCGGGGAAACGATTTACTTAGAGTACAACCGAGGTGCATTTCAGTTGTACATACGTATACTTTATTACTTGTATATACATGAAAATCTCAGTGCAATGCAGCAGCAAAATTGTCAAAAGTTATGCTAGTAAAATGCATACAGTTAACTGAAATTTCTACCCGTTATTATTTATGAACTCGCCTATTATTCATACGCACTTGTCCAATAATAAGATTTAATATGAATTAAAATGTACCTTTAAATTATTCGTCTCGCGAGATACTAAATAATGAAGCTGGTTAGGTTAAATTAAATCATATTATATCATTATTATTAATTTATTCGATTAGAACGAACAAATCCAAAATCAAAATCCTACATTAACTTATATAAAAAAATAATACGAAGAGATCTGAGTCGGAGA